ATTGGCTTGTAGCACACTGATCCCTGCCATTGCCCCTTCCCCACCCAGGCGCCTCTGCCTGTCTTTCCACTTTCTTGTTCACTTAGAGTTGCCTCTGGAGAGCCCACTGTCCCCTCTGTGAAGGAATCCATCTCCTTATGTTTATTTTACAAATTTCAGTGTTCTGTTGCAAGACAGCAGGACCATGTTCATGGGCATGAGTTTGTGTGTAGAGCTAACTGTGTTCATAAGTGTTGGCAAACTCAGGATAAACTGTGATAGCATGAACCAATTACAGACCTCAGCCAAATTTTGGGAAGATAGAAGAGGAAAATTATATAAGCTAGTATTGACTCTCCAAGCATGGAGCCCTGCAAAGGGAAACCAACTAACACCAGCAGTGTTGGCATGATTTTACTGAGTACTACAAAAGTTCAGTTTTCTTCCCTTAAACTACTCACTCGTTTTGAAACGCTGTCAAAGCACCGTAATTTTTCACTTAATTGAAAATGCATTACTCTGCTTGATTCTCCTATTTCTTGCACTAGATCTTGACATCCATGGAGTCGAGATTTACACCATTGTGACCAAGACTAAACTCTGGCTCACAGTTATTTCAGCCTATTTCTGCAAGGGTGTAAGCAATGCATCTCTATATATGAAATGTATATTTATCTTTGGTTAGAGGGAAACACTGACATCTATATATCCTAAATGCCTTCATCACAGTAGGCTATGTGTCTGTGCATGTATTGGTAGGCATAATGTGAAACTGTGTAAATGTGTTTGAATTAACTGAGCTGCAAAAATGGAAATCAGCATTTCTCTGAAGAGTGATGTCTGTGGAGCAAGAGAGAACTTAAGAGAGGTGTCAGTGCTAGGACAGGGATACGAGCAGCTCCTCTCAGATGATGAGTCAGAGGCTGGGCTAGGAAATAGTCCAGCCTTTTCAGCCAGTGATTTATTACTGCCAAAGACAGCAGGAGTCATGATAGAGAGTGAGGATATGAGAGCAGTTAAAAGTATTTAGCTCTCTCTGGACTGTGAGTGATCTGAACTTCGGTTGAAGGGGAGGGGAATGGTAAGACAACTAGGAAAAGTGGCCGGTTCTAGAAGGAAAAATACCCAGTGAAATAGTGCCCTTTTGATTTATTAATGCCTCCTTCAAGGGCTTATTTGAGGAAAAACAGACTTAAAGAAGATGAGTTAGGATTTAAATGGGCTTGATTGTCTTCAGAGAGATTTAAATAATTCCTAAATGAGTCTTTTGGGTTGGACTCAGAGATGCCACTAATCTCTGCAGGTTTCTCTGAGCACAGGGCAGATCGAGGACATGGACAGAAGTACAAAGACTGAACAGACAAGCGCAAGGGGTAGGCAAAAGGGTGCTGCCAAGTTAGGCCTGGCCACATCTGAAAGAAACGTTACTTCATGTGTTCTTTAACAAGTCCTTTTGTCATTCTTCATCCATCTTCAAGCCAAGGGCTCTGGCTTTTGTGGGCATTTCATGGGCTTTCTCATACCAAAACCAAAGGTACTGCCAGAGACACCTGAGAAAGTGGTTTCAGCTTATAATCAAAGAAGTGTGGGAAGCATGGGCTTTCTGCACGGCATGAGGTCCTTCTGTCATAGTGAACACAGCAGTTAGATGGCGCTCTGTAATAGCACTGTGAATCTTGGGAAGGAGTCAGGTTCAAGAATTTGTAGTGTGGTCTGAAAAGAGGAACGAGAAGACCTAAGGGCTGGTTAGAGACGGATTCTGATCGGTGTGCATACAGTCACATACTAGTGAACCCAGTGTAGCTGAGGGTAGCACTGAGAGTTCAGGCTAGTCAGCTGAATTCAGCACTAGAGAAAACAACTCAGACATATCTAAACTAATGATTGATTCAAGTGGCTTCAGAGAGTGCCTGGCCTGCACGGTACCTGGGCTTCAGTTAAAGAACGAAGAACTGTTAATTCAGGATTAACAGGCAAAGTCACTCTGTTTTTCATGTTCACCGCGCAGTTACCCTTACCCGTTTGCTTTATCCCGTCATTTAGCCTTGCTGGTGACCCCAGGAGTGATCTCATTTTAGAGCTTAGAGTTGAGAAGAGACATATACTTCCAGCAGCACTTGTGAAAAGCCGTCCCTCGTGCAGCTTTTAATATTAGTGGCCTTTGCTTTAGTGGTTACTGGTGATGGACACTGCAAGAGTGCTAGCCTTCAGCCTGGCTGAGCAGCCCCCTAAGGAGAGGGGGAGAAACCCATATGGATCTTTCATTTATCAAATGTAGAGAGAAGAGGCTGATGCTTTCATCTCTGAATACCTCTGCAGGGCTTCATCTCTAAGTAAGGAGGAGTTAAAAACCCACAAAACTCTCCATAGCTATCAGGTCTGGCATGGGTGAGGGCAAAGAGAGGAGAGCCAAGATATGTCCTTCTTGTTAACTAGAACAGAAAATTATGGTTTCTTATTTTACAATTTTCTTTTGTAACCATGTTTCTTAATTTGTAATCAGGAGCAGAACTTTTCATTCTGGTGAAATAAATTTGCCCTGTTTTTACTCTGACCCTTATCTGGAGACAGTGATCACAGGAGAACCTGACAAGCCCTAGGGACTTTGCAGAGCAGCAATTTATTGTTCTTTGTTGCAGTAAAGCAATAAATCTATACACAGCAGTGAACAAGCAAGGAGTCTGAGTCCCTCCATGCAAGCTATGCCTATGAGTCTTAAGAGTTGGGGCTATCTTTCCCAAGAAGCAAAGGTCAGTTGAAGATTGGTCATAACAAGTTCTTTCAGTGGAGAGAAATGGGGTGGAGGCCGGGTGCCTGGCAGGAGGCGATGAGAGGCATCTTATGACACTGAGTATGCTCAAAGCCATCACCTGGTGCTCACAACACAGGGTCTTTTTGAGGGAACATTTTTTGTGGTGCTTTTGCTGTTTAGTAGACATGGTCTGATTCAAGACATTGGTTTAAAACTGAGAGTAGAAGGTGGCATTCTGGGCAAATAATTTATTCAACAAAAATACAGCATTAAAACAAGCAGAACTGTTTTTGAATTTGGGATAAAATTGATACAACTGAGTCAGGAAAAACTAGGGCCTAATGATTTCCCTTTCCATAGTGAATATTCTGCATATCCTGTGCCACATCTGTGAGGCCCCTGTGGGTGTCTCAGATATAGTAGTGCATCTCAAATGGCAGTAGACATCTATGTTTAGGCATTTGAGTCAAGCCCTTAAACTTGCTGCATTTAAGGAGCGTAACATGCAGAATTCTCCAGTGGCTCGGGCCGGTGAGTCCTCCATTTGTGAAAAGCTGGTTTCCGCTTCCTTTAGCTCACTCATTCATGAACTGCAAACTCTGTACAGCACCTAGCATAGTGCCTCCTGACACAGCTTGCTTCCAGTCTCTAAAGAAGAAATTCAGCAGTCTACAAATAAAGTGAAGCTTTCATTGCCAATTCACCGCCTAGCTCCCCGTGGGGAGGTGGTGACTTGCTTGACTTTGATCATGGTGTAGTGGTCATGAATATTTGCAGTCAGCTCCTCTGCTACTAGCTACAGACAAAAGCCTCTGGAAATGCCAGGAAACCCCACGTGTCCCCTCTGCCACCTTGGCTTCTTAAGAGTAATTCTTTTCCCTCTCTGGTGCAGATCAAGTTGTTAGCATGCAAGGAAGTGCCAGCACAGACTGTACTAGAGCAGAGTGACACTGGTGTGTGCAGGGAGAGGTCTGTAATGAGCAGGAGTTCGGTAATTAGGCACTTCAGAACAAGCTGCAGTAAAGGGACATTCAGGGATAGGTTTACTGGGGAGAAGAGGGAAGAGAGGGAAGGCAAAAGGGGAGCATGGTCCTCCTGTCAGCGTTAGTTACGTGGTACCTAGGCAGGATCATATTCTGAACTGCTGTCCAGTGGCAGGGGGGCATGACCGTTGCAGCCCACACAGCTCGTCCCTGCAGCACTTCCAGGCCAAATGAACCCATGGACAGTCCTGTGCCCTTGAGGAAGTGTCATTTACTCATAGAAAGTACCATTCATCTCCAAATACTGCTCTGGCTTCCGTCAAGCGCCTTTGTATTCCCCTCTAAGTGACACGATGGAAATGCAAATCATTAGGCAAAAATACAGGCAAATTAGACAGCAAAAGTGCATGGGGCAATAGGGACACAGCAGAAGGTGAAGAAAATCAGGATCTGTGCAGCCCTAAGTGGGAAAGCAAAGGTGCAGGGCCTCATAGCTGGACCGATGAAAACACAGAGGAGAGGAAAAGAGGGCCTGTGTACTGCAGGTTTAGCTGAGTAACTGTCAGATTTCTGTCTAGGTCTGTCCTTCAGCCTTTCTGTGACTGTGAACATCCAAGACAGGACTGTATTGGTCTGTTTTGTACAGCACCTAGCACAAGGGGTTCCTATGCTTGGCTGGGGCCTCAAGGTGCTACACATTATTTATTACTTACTTCCACTGGTCTAGGGCCAAGATGCCAAGTCATATATCCTGGCCTGCGTCCTGCTGTGTGCCATCGAAAAGCCTTCTGTTAACAGCACATTGTACTTTCATCTTTCTCGTGCTGTCTCAGGGAGGCATGGGGGTTGGGGAGCTTCTGCTCAGCATTATTTGCTGAGAGGAGATCCCCAGCTCGTCACTCTTTACTCACCTCTGCTCCCAGCTTTTGCTATGGTGTTGGGGAGAATGGGAGCCTGGGCTGCTCAGCACCTGGAGAATGAGGAGATGTCTTCACAGTGTACCTGGCTGAGGATAAATCTAAGGGTTAAAACATGGGGCAACCATTTAAGGAATATAAAAAAGGTGTCTGCATGACTCTCGTGCATTTAGGTAGTTGGTTTCTCCTGCTCTGGATTAGCCTGCCTAGGCCAGGCTAGCTCAGTGTGGAGGAAGCAGGTACGGGTACTGTCTGGCATGTGCTTGACCACGAGTGGGTACCTATTGCCAGGAGGAGCGGCGGCAGCAGCAGCAATGCCCTTTGTTGAATGTCCTAGTAACTCCTCCTCTTCCTCTCTCCCCTGTGCAGTACAAACAAGTGGAGCAGTACATGTCCTTCCACAAACTCCCTGCAGACATGCGGCAGCGCATCCATGATTACTATGAGCACCGCTACCAGGGCAAGATGTTCGATGAGGAGAGCATCCTGGGAGAGCTGAGTGAGCCCCTCCGGGAGGTAAGGAGAGGGCATTTAATGGGCAATGGGGATTCCTGCCATCTTTGGCAGCTGCGGAGTTCCTGCTGTACAGAGGCCTATCCCAGTGGTTTGTGGAGGACACCCCTGAGGTAGATGGGAGTGGTGGGAGGCCAGCTCTCTCAGAAGCACTAGCTGTGTGTGCATGCTGTAGCTTCATGCCCAAAAGAGACCACGTCCGTGCAGGCCCCCCTTTTTGCTTGGGGATCTACCTGTTCCTGGACTGTGCCCAGCTTTCTGGGACAGCAAAGCCAAGAAGAGCATGACCCACAGCTTGGCTATGTCTCTATCTGAGACAGTTTCATTCAGAGGCAGTGACTTACGTTGTAGCCATTGATGCATATCTGGGGTTCCCTTGCCTTGGTCATGGCAGAAGTCACTGCTATGGAGCAGAGAAGTCCAGGCCTTTGGCAGTTGCAGGACTCCTGCCTGAGTCTGTTGGTCACTGCAGCACAAGTGGCATCTGACAGAAAGACAATGGGAGCTGCAATATGCAGGCCTGCCACACACCGGTCATGTGAATAGATACATCTTGGCACCCTCTGAGGCCATGGCAATGTCTGGAGAGGAGCAGGTCACAAGACAGTCACATCACCAAGGATAAGCCAGCCACATGTTTTGGATCCCTTTAGGAAGGACTTTCCTTGCTGTCCTGAGCCTGGCTAGCCCCCAGTTGGCTGCATTGCACACAGGAGTATCCATTGCCTGCCCTTCTCTTTAAGGGACCTAATAGGCCTCTCAAACAGCTTCTGGTGGGGATGTGGAGATGAATTTCACTGCCCCTTTGCACTTTTTAACTGTCTAATCTCCTGCCCTTTTTCTCAATACAACAGAAATGCCCATCTTTGTCTGACTGAGCTCCCCCTCCTCCAGTCGCTCCTGTCTTTTATCCATGTGTGCTTTAAAGGTCCTTTACTTGCATGGCCTATACTGATCACAAACACCTCCATTTTTTGAGGCTGGGATGATATAGCACATGAGGCAACATTTCCCAAAACCCTGACAGCCTGTACTTCCTTTGCCAATAGATGGTCCATTACCTGAAATGGAGGGGTTGGAGCTAAGCTTAATCCTAGTTTCATCCCTGTTTACAATCCCCGTGTCTGCATGCGTGTTGCTCTAGGGAAACACAGGTCAGGGCAATTTCATCTGGAATGGCTTCTCTCAGCGCTGCCAAATGTGAGAAATGCTCCAGAAACAAGTCTGCTGTGGCTGATGCCTAGATATTATTGATATCTTACGCTTTCCCGCAATAAATCCTGCCCACCTTCCCTTAGGAGATCAAGCTTTACCAAACAGGCAAGGAGTCAAGAGTTGTGGCTGGCATCACGCAGCTACTGCCTCTCTGATAACTTCTTCCCTGCTCCTGCTCCTTGACCTGGCTGAGCTGACAGACCTGGCAGCACTAGGAGGCAC